ATCGTGACCCCTCTGTCATGATATGTATCGTATCGCCAAATTCTTGCCAATACACAGCCCTAATTATTAATACAATATATTTCACTGTAAATAAGTTTTCTTATTTTATATTTATACTGTATTATTGCTAACTGAATAAAAATTTTTGATCAAATGATGAATATAGATTAGCCTTGATGAGTAGACCTTATATACAGATGTCAAAGACTCTAATTGATATAAAATACAGTTGATTTTAGAGACAATAACAGAACAATTTGTGAGACAATTAACTTTAGTTTTGTCTTTTGTCACTGTACGTCTACATTATGTAACATTTACATTGAAACAAACTGGGATTTTAAAACCATTGTTGAAAACAACAACTGTAGAAAATACATCTTAAACACTTTTATGTTTTAAACTATAAAACTGTCATGAATACCCAACAGCCTTTTAAGTGTAAACTTAATTTCAACATGTTAATCTCAGCTGTATGTGCTCTGTTTTTATATGGATTCATCGTATGGGGACAGTTACAACAACTGTTACAACTGTCCCCCTTCCTGTCAGCCATGATAAAACCTCATGTGTTAGCTAAATAAGCTCATCTGGATACATGTTAACTAGATTAGTTAAAAGTCAACAGATCACTTGTTTAAACCATATAAGTTTGAGCTGGATCACAAAAACAGTGACAACAGTAGAACAAAAATAAAACTGGACAAAAAAATACTTTGGTTCCTCAAAAACAGTTTTTTTTTTTCAAATAAATCCTGGAATAGTTTTTGAATCTGTTGACTTTTCCTTTACGAGGTGGGACATCTAACTGAGCATGKACAGTGTGAGTGTCATCACTCTATGTTTCTGTTTGGAGAAAATGACCCATTGCACCTGTCCCTTGTTGCTTCTGTCCCCGGTCTCCCCTACCCAATATGCTTGCATATGGGAATCATTGGTGTGAAGCACTGAGTAACCAGGTTGGATAGAAAGGTGCTCTCTACCATAGATAATACATATTGTTATTTTCAAGGTTTGACCAAAAAGCTAAAACTGTCATTTATCATCTTAAAATGATCGTATTTAATCTAAAACTCTAAAGGCGATCGTAATATAAATAATATTTTTTGTTTTAAGACAGTAATTCATGGCACACTTTAATGACTGTTTTTCATGGCCCCCTGTTTATTGGTGGACTGAATGCTTAGAACAACATGCTAACAGCAATCACTCCTATTTATCTCTGTGTTTTCCCTCGACACAGTAAGATGTAGTGAGTTGTTAGGAGAGAAACAGAAAGGGTGATTAAATATTTCTGTCCTGTGCTACACTTTACCAAGTTGGTGCAGGTCAGTTATTGACCAACATTTATTCACCCTTTTTCATATCAGACTCATATTTACTGAAGTGAGGTTATATGATACGAAGTGAATTCTTATCTCAGAACCAAAATACTCAAAGATGAGGAACCAGCTTTGGCTTTATGGTGATTTATTACAAAAATATAGCAAGAATCAATTTCACTGAATCATGAATAAAACAGTAAAAATAACGTCCTGATGCACCTCAGTAATCCAGGTAAAAAATCAAAAAGAAAAAAATTGTATAGGTCTTCTGGACGGGTTCTTCTCTAATGAAACGTTTCGTCTCTCCTCCAAGAGACTTCTTCAGTCTGAGA